GTATGTATGGATCACTTGGGTTGTTACCAACATCTGGTGAAAATTTCATGTCATTAGCACCTCTAGTAATATATTTACTGAGAAAAATGGTTACGTATTCAATACTTATTTTACCCGCTGTATATCCACATAAATTTGACAATTTCATTAAAACAGCTGGATTTTACCTTGGGTTGTACACTCTCCAGTGTTTCTTCCCCTCCAGCTGAATCACAAAAGCCTCGATGTCGTCATAATGTGGAGCAAAGCCCTGCGTTCCAGGTGGGGTCAGGTACCTGGTAAACCAAAACAAACCTTCAGAACTGAAACCGAATACACTCGCAGCAGCAGACTCGTCCCTGAAGCGTACACGTTAGCTCCTGCCATGCTGCCGAACTGCTCCTGGAGGATGGAGAGAACGTTCCACACCGTGGAGGAGAACGCCTGAGGGTTGAGCATCCGGACGGAGCAGCCGCTCTAAACGGGAAGAGGGGTTTTTGGAACGAGACGTTCTTAGAGCAGCTGGGAGGATTCACGTATTCAACAAACAAACCAGAAGCTCCCACCGGTGTGTTGCTCACCTCGTAGAAGTCCCACACGGTAAACGGCAGAGCTCTGCCCGGAGGATTGTGAGTCTCCCTCTTCCCGTTAATGTAGCTGGTCACATCCAGGTTTACTCCGTACTGAACCGTTTCCTTTATTCAACAAAAACTCCACGCTTTAGTTGGTTTTATTTATAACAGACTCAACTCTAATGCTGTTATCGTAGTATCAAAAAAAATCACATTATTCGTTTATAAGAGAGTAAGTTGAAATATTTAATTACTTTTAACCCTGAAGCTAAATTCCTGCTGTTAGTCAGATACTGTTTATTATTTAATGTCATTTTCCAAACCTTTACATCATGAGTTTATTTAGTGCAAACTTATAAGTGACCCATCACATCAAACTGAACATTAAGTCAAAAAGAAAAAAATAGTATAGGTCTTCTGGACGGGTTCTTCTCTAATGAAAGGTTTCGTCTCTCCTCCGAGAGACTTCTTCAGTCTGAGAGTTTCAGGCAAAATTCAGGCTTTTAAGCCCTGCCTCCATGTGACTGATACTCACATCACATGGCTATCATTGGGGTGGAGTGATACTGGCTATATCGCTCCACCCCCTGTTAACAATAGGTGTTAATTAGGTGTCAACGATAGCCATGTGATGTGAGTATCAGTCACATGGAGGCAGGGCTTAAAAGCCTGGATTTTGCCTGAAACTCTCAGACTGAAGAAGTCTCTCTGAGGAGAGACGAAACGATTCATTTTGATTTTTCTACCTGGATTACTGAGA